GTGCGCCCCACGCGGAGCTGCCCGGCGGCGGGGCCCGCGGGGCGCCCACTCGCTGCGTGCGCCGCAGCCAAGGCCCAGGACGCGGCTGCGCTGCAAGCGGCGCCGCTGCACCCTGCTAGATGCACCCTGCTAGATGCACCCTGCTAGATGCACCCTGCTAGATGCACCCTGCTAGCTCCTCGCCCGGCCCACCCGTGACTCTCCTCCCCTCCGCTTGCATTTGCTCAGAGATTTTTCCCTTCCCCCTTTTTCCACCCCCTCCACCGCTTCCCTCCTCCAAGCTCAGGACTGGAGTGGCCAGGAAGCCCGGACGGGAAGCGGCGTCTTCCCAAACGGCCGGGCCTGCCCTCTGCCGGCATGGCAGGGCTGCCGGGAAAGGGAGGCCGGAGCGGGACGCCCGGCCTCGGCTCTGCGCCAGCCCTCCCGGCCGCTCCGGGGCCCATCCCTGCTCCGGCACACGCTTGTCCCGCGCACGAGGCTGCAGCGCACGTAGGGTCTTCAAAACGGGCAAGCGGGAGCAGCCAGGGAGCTCAAAGCCAGCCAGCCTCACCTCAGTCCATTGGAAAAGCAGCTCCTCCTGGGGACTACTCCCAAACACATGAAGGACAAGAAGGCATTTGAGGGTATTCAGTAGGATTTGACAAGGGGAAATCATGCTTAACCAACCCCATAGCCTCCCATGAGGGCATGACTGGTGGGGTAGATGAGAGTAATGGGTGTTATCTACCTTGTCTACCTTGACTTCAGCATGGCATTCAACACTGTCCCCAATGTCTCCGTCAGAGGCGAGCTCGGGAAGCGTGGATTAGGGGAGCAGACACTCCTGAGAACTGGCTGAACGTCAGAGCTCAGCAGCACAAAGTCTGGTTGGAGGCCGGTGGCTAGCGGTGTCCTCGGGGGTCAATACTGGCCCAGTCTTGTTCATCTTGTTGATCAGTGACCTGGATGAAGGGACAGAGCGCAAAACTCAGCAAGTCTGCTGATGACACAGGGAGGTTGTGGAGTCTCCTTCTCTGGAGGTCTTCAAAACCCGCCTGGATGCCACCCTGTGCCACATGCTCTAGGTGTGCCTGCTTGAGCAGGAAGGTTGGACTAGATGATCTGTAGAGGTCCCTTCCAACCTTAAATATTCTGAAATATTCTGAAATATTCTGACACGAAGCCAGGCTGAGCAGCCAACGCTCCTTGGCGCCAGTGTGGGTTCAGTGCCTGCAGCAGAAGGCCCCAGTGCAGCCCCCGGGTGGCAGCTAGAGAGGAAAGGGGGGTGCTTGAGAGAGTGGCTGCGATGCCACCCGCGCCATGGGGCAGCGGAGGGTCCCGCCATGGGGCGGCGGTTGCTGCAAGGACAGAGAGACACCAGAGACACCCTGCTACCCACCGCTCCCCACCACCTTGGTGTTTAATGACCCCCTTCCACCAAGAAGTTGTTGTGAGAGCAACAGGTGTGGGCTGGAAAGGACTGAGCCGCCTGACCACAAGGGACATGAGTGCGGCAGGTCTCAACTCTTCCTCTCTGAGGAGCAGCTGAGCCCTCTGAGCAGGATTCTCCTGGCAGATCCCAGGGCCTCACCATCCAAACCAGCACGCAGTGCTCAGCTCTGCTCTATCATGCAATGGGACCTCGGAGCCACCCCACATCACCAAACGTATCAGGAGCCCCTGTCCCTTGTAACGTTGGAGCCAGCACCGAGCTGCAGCCCCCTCACTCCTATGCCAGCTCACCCGGACCCCCGGGCTTGGCTCTATTTTTAACCCCCCGTCCTTATTTAGGAGCAAGGCCAGACAGGAGCGCCTGAGCGGGTTGGGGGCCACCTGGCCCCACAGTGACAACTGCGTCGGTCGCCACCAGCCCCTGGTGGCTCAAGGGTGAGGAATAAACAGCCCCTTGCGGCGGCCACGGCCGTGCTCTGCCTGGGAGCTGCAGGCAATCGTGCCCCAGCACTGGGTCCGCTTTTGCCATTGGAAAATAAAGGAAGGACTGAAGAACTACTAAGACAAATAAACCTACATCATCCTTTTCTGTTTGAAAAAACACAGTCCGAAGCAGGAACAACTTGAAACCAAAAGTGGGAGCGTGTATGACCTCTAGCCAGGGGACTCCTGAGAGCCAGGGGACTCTTCCACGTGCAACCAAAGAAGTTTTTGGCTTCTCCTCCTGGGCTCCAGCACACACAAGATCCTCTCCAGAGCAAATGATTTTCTCTGTTATCTTGCTGTCTTGCGCCATGCAAAGCCCAAGTCACGAGGCTGGGGCCTCCTCGCAGATCTGGCATTTGATTTGCATTGAAGAGAGCCAGCAAAGCTCAAGGACAATGTTAATCACTTCTTCATGTTCTTTACAAAAACAAATGACTGCAAATGATATGATGTGGCCACAGAGCTCAACCATGGACTACTCTCCCCACCGCCAGCCTGGGCTGGGTCCAGCCTGACCCCTTGCAGAGGCCTCCTTGGCCAGTGGGTTGCATCACTGCAGGATGGGCTGGCCAAAAACCTTCCAGAAAAATCTTTTTTTTTTCCCCCCATTTTTTTTTTTAAGAGCAGAAGGAAAAACAAAACATGAGAAAGACTGAGCCCAAAAATCTGCTTCCTGCAGTAAGTTGTATTTTCTTCTGGTGAAATTCACACCCTGAGAATGGTTTTGGGTATAAATTTTAACCTCTCACGCAGGGATCGAGCGCCCCAGACACCCCTGGAGCAGCACGAGGTGCAACGAGCCCAGGGCCATTGCAGTAATTTGGGTCTCCCACCCCAAAACTACATGGGGCTTGGGCCGAGTGCCGTGTTAGCACAGAGAGAGTGACAAGAGCAGGAGCCTCGTGGGCTTGCAGGGCACAATCACTGCAGCGGGCTTGGTCGTGCACGGACACCCACGTCCTGCAGGCTCATGCTGGTGACTCCCTTGCACCCCGACCAGTCCTCACCAGCTGAAAACAGAGAGGGCCGAGACACTTCAGCAGCTTGCGCAAATACTTCTCTTATCCATCAGCTTCGGCAAACACTTTAAATTAACACCACTGCAAAATGACTCCACGTCAAGCCGGCTGTTGCCCCATTTACGGCAATTCGGCCACGGAGGAGATAAACCCTCCCCAGATCACGTTTCCAGGCAAAACCCTTGTGATATCTCCAGCCACTGACGTCCCTGGGGACCCGGGGGAGTGGTGACAACCACCTCCCGTGCCAGCTAAACGTCTCAGCACCCCAAAACCCCCGAGCAGCCCATGTTAGCGGCCCCAAGGCTGGGGCCGAGCGGGTGCTTGCGGGGCCAGGGCAGCCCCGCTCCTGCGGGCAGAGCCTCCCCGGTGCTCACGGCCTTCTCGCCGCTCACAGCGGCTCTTGCTGAGGGGGAAAGGAGGGTGGGCAGATGAAACCTGTGCAGCAAGGACACACTCTGCGCAGCCCACACAGAAAGGGCTTGAGAAACGGAGGGATTGATAAAATGAAGCAAAATTAAGATACCTCTGGGGTGTCAGGGACCGACAGCTCCGGCAGGCAGCTGCACGGATGAAGCCGTGAGCTGCAGGAAGGATGTAACCGCACCTGGTGCCGCCTCTTCTATGAAGTTGGTAGTTTTTAGAAACAATTTTTTTTTTCGCTCTGACAGAGGCCCAGGGGCCAGCAGCACCCGGGAGAGGGGAGGCTGCTGCAGGGCCGCCCAGGGCCCCGCTAAGAGCAGAAGTCACCACGAGCACCAGTGTTCACAAGCACAGTTTATGTGCCAAATACCACGTCAGCTGGACACACAGATCAGCTTCTGTGCACAGCTGCAGCCCCAGCACATGCACATTCATCCCAGCAACACACGTGGGCTCCGGTGCTTGCGCACACAGGCCTTGGGCCGTGGAAATCTGCACCAGGATTTTCGGTTAACCCTGGAGAGGTGGAGAGCAGCTCCTGCACCCACCAGCCTTTATCCATCAGAGGATCTCCTAAGCCTGGCAAACAAGTACTCTCATTCTGGGAAGGAGACTTGCAGCTGAATACAATATCAAAGGCGATAAGTGCTGAGATGCCCTTAATAAGTGTCTAAAGCAGCCGCACAGGGTGCCAGGAAGCAGGCGTGACTCACAAACCCTCACCCAGTGCACCTACCCAAGAGGACACAACTGGTCCCACCAGTCCCTGGGGGAGTCCCCACAACCCCAGCACAGCCCCTGCTGTCACCACCCTCCTACCCGAGTGCCGTTTCACAACTGCCCCGGGGAGGAGGGCTGCCCTTCACAGGTGAGACACGGCCGACCTCATCCCGGGAAAACGCCTCCAGCTGCGCCGAGGCCCCTTGGCTGTCTCCCAAGGGGTTATTTGGGAAAATGTCAAAATAGGAACTTGTTGAGAAATACTGGCAATGTTTCCATGAGGGCAGGGCCTCCTGGCCAGGTTGAAACGCTCTTACTTCAGTGGTGCTGTATGGGAAAGCTTGATTTTTTCATGTGGAAATACATTTTTATTTGGAAACATAATTACTTCACACTGTCAAAATGGCATCATCAGAACTGAAATTCAAAGGAACCTGCCTCCCCTCCTAATTTTCAGTCAGGGCACTCTCACATTCCCCATATTTCCCATCTCTTTTTGCAACCTGTTTCCGAAGCACAGGATTTCCTCCTGGAAATAGGAACCCTGTCTCCAGATCCAGCATTCACAGTCATGGAATCACAATGGTTGGAAAAGACCTTCCAGATCATCGAGCCCAACTGTTCCAACATTCATGGTGTGGAGCTGAGGGGCGTTCACTGGGGCATCCCCTGCCCAGGAGGGGCACCTTGTATAGGGAGCCCTGGGTCACTGCAGGACGGGGTTGATGCACCCTGGAGCAGGGGACTCACAGTTGGGGACCCTAGTGCAGGGAGTCGTGGGTCAGTGCCCCTAGCTCAGGGGGTGCATCCTGCTGCACAGCACCCGCTCACAGCCCGTGCAGCCCGGGCAGGGACTCATGCAGTGGTGCAGCCCGGGGCACAGCATGAACTCATAGCTGGTGCAGGGACCCCCAGGTCAGTGCAGCTTGGTGCAGAGCACTCACAGCCAGTGTATCCAAGTGCAGGGAATCCGCGTCGGTGCAGCGCACTCACAGCCAGTGTATCCAAGTGCAGGGACCCCCGGGTCGGTGCAGCGCACTCACAGCCAGTGTATCCAAGTGCAGGGACC